TGCACTGTTCTAGCCTGACTTGGTAATTAATACCTCTGTAACCACACAGCCAAATGGATCAATTAATTTTGAAGCCCATGTTTTGTTGCATTGGCATGCTCATGCATAAAACATCTGACTGGTGACCTTTTCAAGGTGTGCCTATACATTCCACCCAATGCTTATTCATCTGAATTAATAAATCATATAAATAAGAAATCAAGAGACTACTTTCATTTTAAATGATGTTAAAACAATTAACAGGAAGCTCAGTTTTGCCAGACTTATGATAAAACTCATTTGGGAACAGACCTTTATTTTGTGCAGCCATGTAACTGATCGGGATCATTCATTATGGTGTCAGTGAAAAAAGATGTTATGCCTGTGAATAAGCTGAGCTGAGCCAAGCTGATGAGCTTTGAGGCAACCCACATCAATTCAATGAGCTGCTGAAACATAATTACAAAGACTGAATATTGTCAGATAAATCCACAGTAGTCCAGGAAACGTGGCAAATTGTTGTTAAATCAAGAAAGTACAATTAGTTGTGACAAGTCTAAAACACTGAGGTCAAGCAGCCATACGTACATACAGTTCTCCATTTATATATTCTTACAGATCTTAGATGTTTTTCCAGTTTTCTCCTTGCTGTGAAAATGTTTTTTTCTGTTTTTATGACAAAGCAGGACATGAAAAATAGTACACAGCAAATGAATCACTTATGTTTGGATTTTTGAAGGCAGTGTAATTTTATACATATATTGTTGCCGTTGAATTAATGAATGTCAGATTTGTTGCTTTGACTGTTTCCTAGTTCAGACTATATGATTTAAGTCTGATAACAGCCTGACCTGACAGAGTAGGGTTTTGAACATGACAGCTGATTGTTTTATCTTGTGTGCCATAGTAAACAACAACTGATGCTGCATCTGGGACACCTCAAGATGTCCCGACAAAGTCTAGCGTGTCAGAATTTTGGACTTTTTAAAGTCATCAATTCTTCTTAATCATGTAATTTAACACAGACCATCGTATCAGACAAGCAAATCATGTAATCTGAACCAGGCATGATGTGATTGGCTATTCCTTCCACTGTGGAGGTTAATAGGGGCGAGAGTAGAGGATGCTGAAGATAGAGTTAGGTGGAAACAAATGATTTGCTACGGCGACCCCTAACGGGAACAGCCGAAAGAAGAAGAAGAAGAAGAAGCAGCTCTAGGCAGCAGAGTGTTATGGGAGGGATTAGTACAGTCCTGTCCCATTTTCACTTGATTTATCATACCATGTGTAAAATATTTTTTAAAGAAATGCACCTTGAGCCCAATTTTTAGTCCTCAGCTGTCAGGCAAGCATCCTACATTATACTTTGATAAATAATAAAAATAAAATCTAAAATCAATCATTTTTTAACTTATAATTATCATAATTAAGCTAGATTGAGCCTTTTGTTAATGTTTCTGAAGCAATGCCAAATGCGGATGTTTCAGGAAACTGACCGTCAATAAACATGTTCATGGGGGTTTCCTTTAGAGCCAGCACACACTACACTTAAGTGGAAAATTGTGTACCTGACGGAATGGAGGCACCAGAGGATTAATTATGTTGTCAAAAGCACAGGGTGGAGGCTTGTGCTGTGTCACTTAATGGACAGGACCAGTGAGATGTACAGCAGAGAGCCAATCTCTAAAACCTCTAATTTACCAGGTACAGCTACATGTTAGCATAAATGTTATAACTAAATCTTTTAATTTAGCTCAAGACTAAATACCACAGTATGATGAATCCTTATATCATCAGTAAAAGTGAAAACAATGTATTTTCAATTAATCCATTATTGTTCCGATTAATTTTTTGGTGCATACAATGTCAGAAAATAGGTAGATTCCCATCACAGATTCCTGTAGCACAATTGGCTGATGCTAATTTGACTGATTTAATATAATTGAATATTTTATTAATATATTCTGTTGGGTTAGGTTAATTTTATTGTTCACATTGTGGACATTTGTCTTCAGCTTCACCTCACAGTTAAAGAAAACAATACATGTACTCAGACAGTACCATTTACATGGCAGCACATTGTTACAAAATAAACTACAAGTTAAAAGGTAAAAAGAATATTCATCCATGGAATAAGAACTACACAGGTGAAACGTCTTGGTCGGCAGCAGAGCTGCACCCCCCTCGCCTCAGCCTAAACGTACCTGACGGAGATGATGGCCCGTTAGCATTGACATTCTTCTTGGTAGTAATACTGATGATATTGATAATTTACCTTTTTTGCCATTTTATAATGTACATGTATTGTAAGTTGCAGGTCGGGGCACATAGAAAAATTTCAATAATTTTATTATAAGGTATTTTTCCTCTTTACAAACTTACCGTGGTTATTGACAGGCTTCATCCCACATGAAATTAACACCATGCTTCCTCAGCAGTCTTTACCTCTGATATTTTCTTCAGACTAAGCACAGACAAGGACAGATGAGGAAACGAACATGGGGAAATGGATGAATACTGGGCTTTCACAGGAGTGTTCACCCAACAGATGGCACATTTAACTCTGTACTAATAACTGTCATTATACAGGGAGATGTAAGAGTGGCACTGACCTTCTCATTGAACCCTCGACAACAATGCAAATATTTCCTCAAGAGTCAAATTTTTCCTTTAACCCAATACTACTGACTAGAGAAATTTCAAGTATTGTCAGCCTGGCAGTCTTTGAATTGTAACCAACAGCCTTGTTCACTATGCAATTAAATACAATCCCAGAAGGACCCAAAACCTTTCTTGTATGTCAAAGAGCTGTCAAGGCTCACAATACTCTACACGGTAAAAGTCCACCTGAAGATTTGCATGCTTTCATACATATGGATGCTTAAAACCGTTTAATGAGCCCTCAAATCAATAATGTGCCGTTTAGTGCCCAAACAAATCTCTTTAAACTTTAAGACTAATGGGTCTGCCAATTTGATTTGAATGGAGAAGTCATTCCTAATATCAGAGTGCCATGATCTAGTTGTTCTTTTTAACATTTTTTTTTCATGTGCATCAAAGCCAAGTTTAGTTTATACATGTGCACACAGTCCCACTGGAACCTTGTGCCAAATCAGAATGCATAACAAAAAAAAATGAATATGGGAGTTGTCTTTCTCTGAATCTAGTCCTCATATAAATTGTACTTATTAGTGTCCTCTGGGAAAGTCAGATTGCTAATTCTGGACACACACACACGCACATCCTACTCTCTGCAGTATTTACCATCTGTAGAAAAGCAACAGATAGGACTGATCTAGGATGAAAAACATGCACACAATTTACTCCACTGTACAGTTAATATCAAAACTAAATACTGTTTGGTGGGTTTTGGCTTGAGCCTTTTGGGCAATTAAGACAAGAGACAACAATTTGAGATACTTTCTGTATCCACTGTGCATACAGTACATGTCTGAAGCTCTTGTAAATGTCCAAATAGGCAATGTTAAAGGATTTGGTCATTGCCATGTGGGAAGAGCCAAACTACATCACTGTAGATAAACAGTAGCTACTATTCTATATTTTCCTTTTTTTGAGACAGTGATAGACTGGCCATGTTGAAGGCCAGAGTAGCTGCAGAAAATATGCCCTGGATACAGCAACACATCTGTCTAGAGTGATGTATTATTTCTTGAAGTTTGATTGCTACAGTAAAGAGGACTTAAAAGTTGATTTTCCAGCAGGTGGTTTCAGCAGGTGCTCCGGCAAGTAGTGGTGAAATGCAGATGAGCAAATATCTGCTCAAAGCCAAGCGCAGCTACAGATGAGCTGGTTGACCTTTCTGTCCAACCCTGTGGTACATCTATTATGAGAGAAGCTTAGTAACCATAATGAAATTCACACTCTTACCTGTGTGAATTTATTTATTAATTGCAAATAAGCAAATTTATTGCAGTGATAATGATTTAATCTGAATAACTGGTGAACCACTGTTTAATGCATGCTGCACCTCATATACTCACTGAACCTTGATCAACAGTACTCGATCACAGGTGGTAATACACTACCTGATACACTGTAGCTTTCCAATAATGTCTCCGCTTTCCGCAGTTTTGGCAACAGCATGACATGAGTCAAAAGATACTGATCAGACAGCAGGGTTTAATGCAGGATTTATATACAGAGTCAGTGTCAGCTTCCATTCAAACAGTTAAGCCTAGTATCAACCTCAGTTTCATTCCAGTCACAGGCAACAGCAAATAATACATGGCACTAACTCGACTCATTCAATCTCTCTCTCTTCATTAACTCAGCTCTCACCTAAACTGTAAGCAAGAAAAAGTTTTCATTTCATTTGTATTCAATTATGTTTTGATCTTTTCTCCCTAACACTACAGCCTCATATGACAGTCAGCCGCTGCAGCGATAATTAATTGACAAACCATCAACCAGATAGGAATAATAGTTGTCTGTGAAGAATCGATACCTCAAGGCAATCCTCCTGTGCATCACACAGCTTTTCATCCACCAGGGGTGACAGAGCCTCACCTCTACTCAGATTTACACTGCTTGTTCACAGTGTGTCTGTCTAGCAGCTGCATTAAGAAAAGGACAAGTGATGCCTTCCTGGCTCTCAGGAGGGAGTGTGAGGACTGAGGAGTACTGTCACAGCTGAAGTGCATGTTTATAGATCACCTCTGACTGAGTGCTTCTTTAGAAAAGAGCCTTCACTGCGCAATCGATGAAGCGATTATATCATTGTTACCTTCCACTTCATCACGAAACAGTGTGAGCTGCACACACATCCTTTAGGCTACATGAAGATACAGACTTTCTTTTACAATCTGTGTGTATTAATTTGTCCTTGGATGTTTTATTGTCAGCACTGTTAACAACCTGTCATCCGCACTGAGACAGCAGCAAACAAATATTTACCTTGATAAACACAACTCATTAGATGTGTCACTTCAAAGCAGCATGGTAAAAATAAAATCAGCTCAGCAGCTCGTGACAGATTTCAACGTGTTTCGTGTGTGTGTTACCTGTTGCAGTCGACATGCAGCAGAAGGTGGGAGGCGCTGATGGTGAGAGCGATCTTATGCCACTGGCCATCGGCGAGGCGATAGGGGAAGGACTCAGACCGTGGCTTGCCTTTGAAGCGGTAGTGATAGCGGATCTCTTCTCTCAACCCGCTGCTCTCCAGCTCAAAGTAACTGCAGGGAAACAGAGGAGGTTAGAGGTCAGAGATGCTCAGTTTCCTCTTCAAGCCGTCTGTTCCGTGTAAAGAAATCTGAACTCAAAGAAAGCACAAACATTACGGGTACAGCACAAGGTCCTCTACAAAGCAGATTAAGGAATTATTTTCTAAATGTTCTTAGAGAGCAAATAAAAAATTAGGTTTGTGTGGAATTTACTGCTCGTTACTGCACTAGTGCAAAAACAGTTAGCTGATTTATTGTTTAGTCAGTCAAAAGAAAAGCAATGCTGTCATTTATGATGCAAAAATGCTAAAAATTCGCTCTTTACATTTTCTCAAATGTGAAATTTGGGCAGCTGTTCTTCAGACCTTTGTGAATGATTCATTTACAGTCTGACCAAATATCAAAATCCCTGAATGTTTGTTGGCTCACATTATGAAAGTGCTGGCACATCTAACAAGGCTTCTTTTACAGAGGGTGGTTTTTATGCTCATAAAATTTTAATTCAATCTACAATACCTGTTAGACTAAAATATATGTCACCAGGTCATTTTGACCCGAGGGTGGTGCTCAAAAAAAAAAATCTGAGCATCCAAAGTGGACATATAGTAGTTCATCCTCTGAGGTACATGATAAGAAAACAGAATTTAAATCTACCAATTAAAATTTGATGTTTCTCGTTTCAACTAGGGAAATAATTGCAGCATCCGCTGCTGTATGTAGCTGTATAGGATAGCAAATTTTTTTTTTTTAAGTTAACTTATAGATGTATGTAGTGTATATATTTGATTGATAAAGAGCGCGATGCTCCCAAAATGGTGCATTTACTCAAACTTTAACAGCGTGACAACTTCACATTCTTTATAAGATGGTGAACTCATGATTAATTCTGTGCACAGAACTTGAAAATCACCTGTTGGATACCTAACAAATTTAAAAAAAAAATAAAATCTAAATTTTCAGAAAAAGACCAACTAGAGCTTAAAACATTTCATTATTCATTTACCATGGTGTTGAAAATTGCTATGAGAGAGAGAAGCTGCTGAGCTGATCTTTAGCAAATAGAAATACTGATGTGACACCAGATCAATGCTCCATAGTTACACATAGGCACACAAAGCTCCATCCTAGATAGATCTATGACAGATTTAAAATAAATAAATAAATAAATAAAAACCCTGCAGTCATGTTCTATTCATTAAGGTCAGTCAGATCGCTGCTGCCAAACTTTGGGCTCAGAAAGTGGAAAAGGTG